ACCTAAGCATATTGTGGCTGGTCCAAATTGATAAAGAAAATGTTGGGATCCAAGCTCAAACCTCAGCACTTTCATTCACTGGCTCTCTTTTTTTTTTTTTTTTTTTTTTGGACAAATTATTTTCTTTCTCTATTTCTCTAGGACTCAGTTTACTTCTTTGAGGCAGGGGTAATAGCATCACCTAGCTCACTGAGCTATTGCAAGCATTAGATTAGCCTGACCTACATCCTGAAAACCATGGAAATTCAGAGTTTGGGGTGCCGCAGTGTCTGTACACCATCTTGCTGGGGCTGTGTTTTGCCTTTAAGTTAATCAGAGCTGGTTTGATCTCCTGCCTTGCCATAGAGGGCATCTTAAATTTCTGGTAAATTCTCTACACTTGATACTTCTGTCCTGAAAATTCACATAACTTCTCTTTTGATAGAAAACCAAAATCTATATAGTCTGAAAGGAGTTAGATATAAATGTCTTTCATTGTTAACACCAACTTCTTCCACCTGCTTGAGGAAGATGATCTATTATTTTTGCTATATTGTTGTACCATGTCAGTGGTTGACATGTGTTGTTCGTTGTGAATTTGTTAGGTAAAAGCCGAAGCAGAGAGAGGGACCTGTCTCACTCTGTATCACAGGACGTTTTGGTGGAAAAGAATGAAATCTATCAAATCATATACTCTTATTTACACGACTTATGGAGTGACTAGAGTTATCTAGGAAATTAAAATCACTGTTTTTTATTAATTCATAACGTGTACTCTTGCAACCTGAAAATAAAAGGATGTGATTAAAATATAGTTTAAGGCATCAAATGTGGTTACTAATACCCTTTTAGGAAAGGAAAAGATGAAATCTGGTGAGTATCAGTCAAAGTGTAAGTGATTGAATTAGAAAAAAAAAAAAAAAACATTGGTTAGACTCATGATAACCCTCAGAGTGGCTAACACCCAGATTTTTTTGCATCTCTAAAAATATATAACACCCCTCTCTCCAAATATCACTTCAGAAACTAAAATAATAACTCATGAAAGGGGAAACAGATCCGTGTAATTTGAGACTTGATCAGGCAGTTTGCATGGGATGCTCAAGGGCCTAGATCAGCCCTCGTGCTGCCCTCTTCTCAATACCCTGGTGCCTGAGAATCAACAGGAAAGATTAGGAGCTTTCTGAGGGTTTTTTTCTTTCATGTTTTGAAATCTTGCTGCATTGTCTGAGTCCAGTTTGGTTCAGCAGTCTCTCGGTGCCAGGTCACTCTGGTTAAGATACGCTGAGGCTGAATTTCTCAGCAGCTTTGCTAGTGGATCAGTCAACGTTGTGCCCTGGGTATTCCAATCAGGAGGGCCTGTGTCTTGTCTTTGTCCACATCTGTCCCCAGTCATTCATTAACGGTGACACAAAATAGCCTCCCACTCCTGACCCACTTCCTAAACATGGCAGTTTCTTTGGGATTCTACTCCTAGAGTAATTGGTGTTTAGACCTTCTTAGGTTTATCTATATGTGTATACCTAGAAGAACTTGCCTGTCATGCTATCACCAATACTCTACATACTTAAGAAGGAAGGAAAGGTGGAAGGAGAATTTTCTAAACTCATAAAAAAATCTAATCCTAAAAAATCTCACCAAAAAGTAGTTGTTTAAGAGAAACACTGTAGCTTGTGAAAGGTGTACTGTATAAATAGCTACCTTTACTGGGGATTTACTGTGTGCCAGACATGATTCTAAGCCCTTGATGTTTATTAACTCACAACAACTCTGTGAAGTAATCACCATTCTAAAAATTAATTTTACAGGTGAGGAAACTGAAGAACGGTGAGTTACATGACTCACTCAGAACGCTGTACTTATATGGAGCAAAGCTAGGATTTGAAACAAGAACTCCTTCCCCTCGTACCTTGTTTTGAAACAGGAACCCCTTCCCCTCATACCTTGTTTTGTTTTTGGTTTTGGTTTTTGAGATGGAGTCTCACTCTGTCGCCCAGGCTGGAGTCGGAGTGCAGTAGTGTGATCTCGGCTGTCAACTCCAATTTTATATATATATATTTTGTGTGTGTGTGTGTGAGATGGAGCCCTGCTCTGTCACCCAGGCTGGAGTGGTGTGATCTTGGCTCACTGCAACCTCCTCCTCCTGGCTTCAAACAATTCTGCCTCAGCCTCCCGAGTAGCTAGGAATACAGGCATGCGCTACCATGCCTGTATGTTTATTATACTTTAGTAGAGATGGGGTTTCGCCCTGTTGACCAGGATGGTCTCGAACTCCTGACCTTGTGATTCACCTACCTCTGCCTCCCAAAGTACTGGGATTACAGGCATGAGCAACTATGCCTGATCAATGCCTGACTAATTTTTGTATTTTTAGCAGAGACGGGGTTTTGCCATGTTGGCCAGCCTGGTCTTGAACTCCTAAACTCAGGTGATCTACCCACCTCAGCCTCCCAAAGTGCTGGGATGACAGGTGTAAGCCACCACCCTTGTCTGTACCCTGGTTCTTAGTCACTATGCCATGCGGTCTTCCTCAAGCCCACATATTCTTGGGGTATTGACTTGCAGGTATTGTTTTGTTTTCACAGAAATTTTTTGCTCTGGGACTGCATGTTGAGCCTTTATACGCCAATGCTATATAACAGGCCCTGCTTGATCTTACTAGACTTCTTCAAATGCTTTCTTTTTGCTAATACAAGAGCTATGGGAAATAAAAGTATGTCCCAATTTGATTAGGAACAGGGACAACCACTTAATTGCCATTCTTCTATCTTGAGTTGGATGTGCCTGTTAAGATATTTTCTCTAGATCTTTGAGTCATTTTTCTCTGGGACATTATTCTAATTAACCTCATCTCTGTAGCCCTCATTTTACTTCATATTAGCCTCTGACCACCTAATAATTGATTCGTTCTGCTCAGTCACCTGTGTGAAAAAAGTGTAGCAAGCAAGAGGGTCTCCCTCCCAAAGCTTCCGTCCTGTACCTGGGCATTTTCCCAGCAAGCAGGTTCAGAATGTTCTTTTCGTTCTTAGAAACTTTCGCCTGGAAAGCTTTTTATTTACCAGGGTAAAGATCTGGGGTACTTAAAGGTATCACTGGCTAACAGAGTAGAATACCTTTGGTTTCTTATTCAGTAGAATTATAGGTTCATAAGCTGTATGCCAAGGACTTTGACCTTCAAATATTGGTAAAATATTAGGCTTGAAGAAAAGTCTATCAATGCCAGTTACAAGGGACCACAAATAACCAATTTTTCTCTTAAGAGGTTTGAAGTATTCATATTGCCTTGTTAACACAAAAAGCAGACAGCCCACTTCTAATGTGTCGGTGTCTTAAAATACTGAGCTCACCATATTTTAGGTCTTTTTGGTTCTGAGTGACCAGCTTAGGCACAAAGGGGAATTAATTGGCTCACAATGTTGAAAAGTCGGATTGCGGAACTAGCTCCAGGGACATCTGAAGCAGGAGGTTCAGCTCATGCCATTGAGTCTTGGTGGCGATCTCCTGGCTGTGCTATGCTCCCTGTGGGATTCGTTCACGGAGGCGTTTCCTCGATTGTGACAGAATAACCTTTCCTGAGTCTGTTTTTGTAGCAGCTCCAGCAGAAAAGATCTTTTCTTGAGAGCTCTGGCAGCTGTCACAGAATCTGGATCTTCCTGCATCAGTGATTGGTCTGGTGTGTGCCACATGCCTTTTGTTGAAATACTGGCTGGAGCTGGAGCAGTAGTGCGTCGGGGCAGTAGGAGGTCCTGCTTGCCTTAGGATGGGTCATGTGCCCATCTCTAAAGCCATGGATGGCCTTTGACCTACACAAAACATTGGAAAGTAGGTGGAAAGAGGGCTGGTTTCAGAAGAAGGGGACATAATTCTGGGAAACTGAACGATGTTTATGTACACAGCAGGTACTATACTTGATGTACAGCAAATACATAGAATTACAGGGTGAAGGAACCTTTAAATATCATATGGTTCAGCTAACCCACAACTAAATATCATCTATGAGAGTTTTCCCAGAAAGCTGTCTGCCGAACGCTTGACATCTCCAATGGCATTTGGGCTGTGCCTCAGAAATGCTACTAGGCCTCTGTCCTCAAGGAGTCTAGAGTTCATTCATTGCCTCCCTGCCTTCTATTCATTCTTCTCTCCAACCATCCACCTACCATCTGCCACGGTTTGTGGTCCTAAGGCAAGATGCTTGATTTTTTTTTTTTTTTTTTTTTTTTGAGGCATAGTCTCACTCTGTCACCTAGACTGGAGTGCAGTGGCGTGATGTCAGCTCATTGTAACCTCTACCTCCCAGGTTCAAGCGATTCTTCTGCCTCAGCCTCTTGAGTAGCTGAGGTTACAGGTGCATGCCACCATGCCAGGCTAATTTTTGTATTTTTAATAGAGATGGGATTTGATCTTATTGGCCAGGCTGGTCTCAAACTCCTGACCTCATGATCCACCCACCCCGGCCTCTAGGATTGCAGGCATGAGCCACCCACAGCACCCAGCCAAGGTGCTTGATTTTAACATACTTATATGTGCAAGGTAGACAGAAAAGTCAATCATAATATAGTGATAGAGAAGTTACAAGAATACTGACGGATTGTGCGTTTTGACTGGGGAGGGGATTGGAGAACGGAGATTGGAGGGCCTCATAGCAGGAATGACGCCAGACTAGGGTCTCAGAGAATGAATAGGAGTTGCCAGGTAGCCAAGGGGAAGATGGTCTTGTTAGTGGACTTAGTAGGATTAAACCCTATGTTATATTGAGACTTGCTTTTGAATGACCTGGGAAAACGGGCTTATAAAATAGCATAATGCAGTCAAAATGCACATCTTTTAGGTCATATAGAAAATATAAGTGGTGGGAATAATATCCTGATGATGAAAGATTTTTGTACAGGTGAGCCATATGACATCTTCTAAACCACCCCGTCTCCTAGCTCTTAGTAAATACGTAATAAGTGAATGGATGAAACCTCCTTGGGAAAAATTTTGGTGAGTTAAATTACAGAATTTTAACAATCACTTCCCTAAGCTTTGCGCAGTGGCAGTATCGTAGCCAATGAGGTTTATCCGAGGTGCGATTATTGCTGATTGAAAACTTCCCAATACCCCACCGTGACAACTTGAAATACAGTTGGCACTGGCAATTTTTGACAGTCTCTACAGAGACTGATTTTAAAAAAAATAATAATAATAATAAATAAAATAAAATAAAACAATCACTTCCCTAAGAATTTTGAAAGGATCAGATATTATTTGTTTATTCATACATTCTTGGGGGCAACAGAATATTTTGAACCTCAGTTTTCTCATCTGTACCTGAAGATAAAAATAATACGTCCTGAAGGGTTAGAAACATAGAGACTAACCCTCTGGAGCATATGAAATATCAAATATGTTTCTGTTAGTAAGCCCTCTGTCGATATTACTTGTCATCAAAAGGTATCTGTGATTTTGTACGTCATTGGTTGTCAGAGGCTTAAAAATTAGTTATGTCCATTTAGCTAGTTGATACAAATGTTTTTCCATGTGCCCTAGATGGAATATATTTTTTAAATTTTTGCATATTACTTATACCTTAATATTACAGATATTAAAGATGATGAGATTTAGCAAAAAAACTTTAATTCCACATGCTTTTAATGCTTCCCTGAATTAATATATTTTCATGTCCATCATATTTTCTCCTTGGCCCACCATTTATCCCATATTTGGATCTTGGCAAATGATGACTTGGTTAATTAGACAGTCTGTTAACTCTGATTACTAAGTTATAACAGATCAGTGTAGAAGCATCACTGTGCAATTTGGATTAAAAGTCTCTTCATTTTATCAAAACAAATTTACATTTATGGGTAACTATGTTGAAGTGCATTATGTTAAAATGATGCATTTCATAAGGAAAATTTAAAAAGGATAAAAAATTATTTCCTCCTACTAAGTTATTTTCATATTATGACATTCATCACATTATCTTTCACTAGGAATATGCATAAAAGCTTGGAATTTTCTTTTAAGGCTTGGAAATTATAGCTGATTTAATACCTTTATTATACAAATATGATGGATGCATTGCTTTTTTTAAGCATAAGTTAGTGTAGTGGTACATGATTATATTCCAGTTCTGACCACAGTAGCCTCTGATGTTGGAGTTTCTTGTAGAAATGAATCTTGACTGGGTTGGGGCAGAATTAGGGGGCCATATTAGGCTGGCTTTGTTTTGTAGCTGAAGGCATTGACCGTTATTAAATAGACAGGGACCTCTGTCGTCCCGTCTCTTGTCTAATGGTTTATCATCTCTTAAGCGAAGTTGGAGTATCAAAAACTTGCTGCTTCCCCCATGTTCATCTCTGCCTACTTTCTTTCCTTTCTTAGCACATAACAGTTAGCATGTGGAAGGCAAATAAACACAGAGTAACTTGCCAGACGTGGTGAACCCTAAAACCTGTGTTAATTACCCCTCAAGATTCTGTCAATTATCAATAGCATTCAGATGATCACACTTCCCCCTTAACTCCCTCCTCTGCTTGGCACACATGCCCATGTATACATACACTTATCCACACATGTATGTACATGCACATGCACACACACTGAACACAGCAACTAGCACCTGTTAGGTGTTTAATAGGTATTTGTTGAAGACTAGTGAGTGGAAAAGGTGAAAGACCAACAGCCTCCCACTCCCAAGCTTCCAAGCTGCTCTTAGCCTGGTCCAGCATTTGGGATCCTGTTTGATATTGCAACTGCTGGAATAAATGGAGTTGATGAATTTACTATTTATTCTTTCAATAAGCTTACTGAAGGCTGGACTGTATGAATTGCTGTGTTCTAGTTCTATGAGAAATAGATAAATAAAAGAGAGAAAATATGGTAGTTTCCCCTTATCCATGTTTCGCTTTCTGTGGTTTTAGTTATTTGAAGTCAACGATGGTCTGAAAATAAGTGAGTACACTATAGTAAAATAATTAGAGAGAGACCACATTCACGTAACTTCTATTACAGTATTGTTAAAACTGTCCTATATTATTTGTTATTGTTAATCTCTTGCTGTGCCTAATTTATAAATTAAACTTTGTCATAAATATGAATCTATAGAAAAAACATAATACACATAGGGTTCAGTACTAACCGTGGTTTTGGGCATCCAGTGGAATTCTTAGAATGTGGGAGAGAGACAACTCTGTTCTTTTCTTTTTTTTTTGAGACAGAGTTTCCCTCTTGTTGCCTGGGCTGGAGTGCAGTGGCATGATCTTGACTCACTGCAAATGGCTTCCTGAGTTCAAGCAATTCTCCAACTTAAGCCCCCCAAGTAGCTGAGACTACAGGCACACGCCACCATGCCCTAATTTTTTTATTTTTAGTAGAGATGGGGTTTCACCACATTGGCCAGGCTGGTCTCAAACTCCTGACCTCAGATGATCCGCCCACCTCAGCCTCCCAAAGTGCTGGGATTACAGGCGTGAGCCACTGTACCTGGCCTACTCTGTTCTTCACATTTAGCAAACTTAGTATCTTGTTGACTGATGATATTGACATGACCCTAGGCCAGAAATAGTAAACTTTAGTTCTTTAGTTTAATTCTGTGGTAGCATGTAGTTTATGCAAAACTGGCTTTTCTAAATCTAGAAGGCTCTTCTGATATAGAAGGTAGATGCAGAAGTTTGTTTAAGTCGGAATGGAAGTGGAGTCTTTTATGAATTTGATTATTTTGTCTTAATTAGGAACATTTAATAATAATTATGGGAGACTCTCATTTTGGAGCAGGTATGGCTTGTTGTTCAGAGGTAAAGTGATGTTTTGAGCTGTAATTTGATGGATCTGAATGACAGTCAGCCTGAATAATTCAGCTCCTGCAAGCTTCCCTACTACCCATTCTTTCCTAAAAAAAGAACCAAATAAGGAATTTTTGAAAACCCAAACTATTCTGGATTCTATTAATTCTTACAGTTACTTTAAAGAAGCAGTTTGAGAGAGATGTGACCTGGGATGTTTATATGTGAGGTAAAGCTTACAACCCATTAGAGCATTTTTTTTTTTTTAAGATGGAGTCTCATTGTGTCTCCCAGGCTGGAGTGCAGTGGAGCGATCTCAGCTCACTGCAACTTCCACCTCCCAGGTTCAAGCGATTCTCCTGCCTCAACCTCCTGAGTATCTGGGACTACTCAGGTGAGCACCACCACATCCAGCTAATTTTTCTATTTTTAATAAAGACAGGGTTTCACCATGTTGGCCAGGATGGTCTCTATCTCTTGACCTCGTGATCCTCCTGCCTTGGCCTCATTAAATTTTTTTAATGGGGCTTTAGTACGTGTATTATAATAAAGTCTTGCTAATAAAGCTAGACAACCTTCTGGAAAACAACTGCCTAAGGAATGAGATAAGAAGTGAAGTCTGCTTGGGTGTTCAAGCATTCCTTGACACAGAAGAGTCTTACCCCACATCCATGGTCCTCAAGAAGCTGTAATGGGAACACTGGGAAATTTTCTTGATTAAGTGCTTTCTTCATGAATAGGTCTGTGGATAGAAGCAAGCAGACTTATTACAAGGTTGGATACTACTGCCCTGAGGTTGTATTAATTCAATTTATTCCTTTAAAATGACCTTGGATGAAAACAACCACCTCTTTTGTGGTCATGGTTAGCAGATGTTTACCGTAATTCTTTGCTCAGTGAAAAAATGCCTCGTCTACCCAACAAAAACAGCCACGTTTGCTTGGCTAAATCAAAACTTTGGCGCTTGGGTCTTACTTTATATATCATGGCTCCAGTCACACAACCTTTCCAAGTGTGAGGCTTAGATCACCAACTCCAACATCTGCAGGAGAGCTTTGCTCATAGTGATCTATTATGTGAGTGCTTAATTCTTATACTGTTCTTGGCATTCACCCTTCCTCATTGAAACCAATATCCTATATGCAAGCCGCCTTTCTTTGTTTTTCTTGCATAAGCATGCTAGCCCTTCCCAAATTTTTAAAGCTTTCACCTAGATCTATGGCCAATTTTGTGAGGATTTTGATTATAGAAATAAAGTCAAGGTTTGCTTTCTCAGTTTGAGAGTTTAGTTTCTCTTTAGCTCTCTGAAATATCAAGCCTCTCCTTTCCTTATATTTTGTGCTTGAAAAACACTTTTCTCATTGCGCATTGGGTCTATTTAACCACCTCGCTCCTCAATTTTTTTTTAATAAAAAGTAAGTGATTGCAAACCTATATAGCCTATAGATAGTCCCTGCCACACCTGCTGTTCATGGTTCTAATAGGTATTTCAGGACCAGCTCCCTCATCTGCACTAAATTTCCGCACTGAAGAATGCCGCCTGCTCTCGGCAGTGCTGAAAGGAAATACAGCAGCAAAACTTTGCTTTTCTTGGGAAGCTCCTCTCTTTGGAATGGAGAACTCTGGGTGGCTCTTCTTATTTTGTTTTCATCGCCAAAATAAGCAGGGATCTTGCATAACACCAGTGTAGGAAAAAAGAAGTAACTTTAAGGGAAACATATGTTCATGTTGAGAAAAAGGCAGTTAGAACTGGACAAGGGATTGTGCCCCACAAAGCTAAAGGCATCTTCTTTTCAATTCATGTTGGAAACCAGTTTTGGATCATTTGGTATATTTTATAAAATAAAAAATAAGTTGCTTTCCTGTATCCCCAAATATTTTCTTTCATCCAATCACATATAAATCTTGCAAAACCAAGGCTTATAAACTAGTTAGTTGATATATGTGATATAGAATAAGGTAGAGTCCTGTATTTGTTTTTTGTTTTCTGGTGTGTGTGTGTGTGTGTGTGTGTGTATGTTTGAGTTTGAGACAGAGTATCACTCTGTCACCCAGGCTGGAGTGCGGTGGTGTGATTTCAGCTCACTACAACCTCCACCACTTGCGTTCAAGTGATTCTTGTGCCTCAGTCTTCCAAGTAACTGGGACTACAGGTGCATGCCACCACGCCTAGCTAATTTTTTTGTATTTTTAGTAGAGAGAGGGTTTTGCCATGTTGGCCAGGCTGGTCTCGAACTCCTGACCTCAAGTGATCTGCCTCGGCCTCCCAAAGTGCTAGAATTATGGGTGTGAGTCACTGTGCCTAGCCCCAAATATGATTCTTATTTAGTCTGACTTTTGGAGAAGAGAAGTCTGAGTATTTAAATGAACCGAAGATGCCTTACTTTAGCTGTT